AAAATGTTTAGAGGCCTACCCTGTCCTAAGCAATTTCCCATGTTTTTTTTTTTTCCCTTTCTCTTTAATTACTGGTTTTTGTCTTTTCTTTTACCTCCAAACTTCTTAAGAGAGCAGTCTGTATTCTACAACTAATTATGGTCTGGCTTATACCTTCATAACTCCACTGAAACTGTTGCAACACAGAAGCGAGAAAAACAAATGGCGGCGCTTGGGTCTTCTTCCTATTTGATTTGCCCTGTGGCCACTCTCTAATTCTGGAAACTTACCTTCCTACTCTAACTTCCGAGGTGCTGTCTCTTGCATTTCTCCCTCTGGTCTTCTTTCTTAACCCGTCTTGCCAGTCCTTTCTCTGCATTTGCTCTCTCCAGTACTTTGCTCTCCTGGGGGCCTCATAATTTCTGGTATACACACATTTCACAATTGAAAGAACCTGCGTTTGAGCTTCAGCAACCATATATTTGTGTGCTGCTGTCCTCAGACCTTATGTCTTGACAATGGCATCAGCAAACGTGCCCTGCAGTTTTGCTGCTGTTGTATCAACGGAGGTATTCACTGGTCTGGACTGTGGGAGCAACCCGCTAGCTCTGAAGCTGTCTCCCTCCTCCCGCCATGGCTAGCAGAGATGAAGTAATCATCCACGCAGGACACTCCTCTTTCCCTCCACCACACCATCTCTCTCAAAGTCAGATCTAAATTAATAAACTAAAGTTTATCACTTAAAGCCAAAGTGCATGGAAACTTAATTTAAACCAAACAACTCAAATATTTACTTGGCTTTAAGCTCATAAAGGGCCCATCTCGACAGCATATTCACCTTTATGTAGTACAACTATACTGTCAACGCTAATTAATTGTTTTAGAAATTAGGTAAATATAAAGGGTGCACTTTCAAAATGAATTTAAAAACAGACTTTGTAGTTCTCTCTTAATTTTTAAAAAGAGTCTTTGTGCCAACCTTATACCTCTTGTGTATTTCTGTGGTGACATTTGTCAAAATTTAGTACAACTCTTCTTTAAAGGATAAAATGGTGGTGGTAATGCTATCTGCCTCAGAGTGTTGCTGTGTAGAGTAAGTGAGTGGCACAGAGTCAGGTCTGTATGTGTTTACTGCTGTTACTGTTACTTCCATTTGTCTTTGGACTCCTTAAAAGAACAGAGAAAATGCTTTTTATTATTTTATGTGACACTAAGTTGTAGTCCTTGATATTTAATAAAGACTCAGCAAACACTTTATTATTATTATTTTTTAAATACACGACAGCAGTGGAAAGCATTACAAGCATTATTGCACATATAGGGCATAATTTTTCATATCTTTGTAATAAAGTATGTTCACATCAATTTATGCCTTTATACACGTACTTTGTTGTTGTTTTTTTGCATTACAATTCTTAATATACACATATACCACAATTTTTGAATCTCTGTTTGTATATAAAGTACGTTGACACCCAATTCAAGTCTTATTTGTATAATGATGTCTATTACATTCCACCATACTTGTTAATCCCCTGCCCCCTCCCTTTCCCTCCCACCTATCTTCCCTATCTAGAATTCATCTATTCCTCCCATGCTCTCCCTCTCTACCCCACTATGAGTCAACTTCCTTATATCAGAGGAAACATTCGGCATTTGTTTTTTTGGGATTGGCTGACTTCACTTAGCATTATCTTCTCCAACACCATCCATTTACCTGCAAATGCCATGATTTTGTTCTTTTTTAATGCTGAGTAAAATTCCATTGTGTATATATGCCACATTTTTTAATCCATTCATCCACCGAAGGACATCTAGGTTGGCTCCATAGTTTGGCTATTGTGAATTGTGCTGCTATAAACATTGATGTGGCTGTGTCCCTGTAGTATGCTGTTTTTAAGTCCTTTGGGTATAATCCGAGGAGAGGAATAGCTGGGTCAAATGGTGGTTCCATTCCCAGATTTCCAAGGAATCTCCATACTGCTTTCCAAATTGGCTGCACCAATTTGCAGTCCCATCAGCAATGTATGAATGTACCTTTTTCCCCACATCCTCGCCAACACTGTTCAGGTCCTGGCTCATTTGTTGTTTGGGTTATTTGTTTTTTCAGTGTTTAGCTTTTTGAGTTCTTTATATACCCTAGAGATTAGTTCAGTAAATATTTGAGTGAATGTTGAATTGTGCTCAAAATTATTTATGTTGTCTGAGAAATCACATCAATAAAAGGAATCAGTCTCTTATTTGTCAACTTCAGGACTACTTTTTTTTTTTTTTTAAACTGCAGGCTTATAACAATGGCAAATAAGCCAAATATTTTTAAATATTTAAGTGGACAATATTTGTGACTGTTACAACAGAGGCACAGATGTATTTCTGAGAAGCTGTAAAAATCTGTGCTTTCAAAGCAAATTATATTTTAAGTGCACCAGGAGAGTTAGCTATTCAAAAGAAATCTGTTGAATCTTTTGTGGACTGAAAGCTCCTACAGTAAAGTTAATAATAGCACCTAAATGTATCAGTTTCAGGAATTCACATCGTGTTTTGGGGTTTTCTCATAGTGTAGAACATCTATAGATTTTCTACATAGTATTTGATAGGTGGTGACTTTATATTAGAAAAGGCTAAATCCTACTCTTACCTCGTCCTTGCTTTGAAGTTTCTTTATAAAATGTGGTAGGGTTGGAAAGTACCTTGAGTTCTTGTCTGATCTAGGTTTCTTTGAAGTGGGTGTGTGTGTTCGCTTGAGAAAAACCAACTTATATTATTTTAAATGTTCTATTATTGATACATATTAGCATTTGTATAATTCATTGTGAAAGGAGACACATATATTAATTTTGGAAGGTTACCCAGGTAAGCTTATGTTACATTAGCTAAAAGTTGTATCTTTCTTATTAAATTTTTTTTTCAGATCTAAGATCTTAATCTGTTACTTATTCTATCAACTTCATCTAGGCTGCTAAATATAGCCCAATATTATCTAATGTTTATCTTTTTGGATAGGAAAATTTGCAAACATAGTCTTTTGATTCTGAGAGGTCATGGCCTCTATCCTATATGGTTGATTATAAAAGGTTACTGTTTAACCAAACAGATGTCTGTAGTCCAAATAAACAGATATAGTACAATTTATTTATCTGCCTAGTTGGTGGCCAGGGACACAGAAATAGTGAATGTGGAAACTGGATTTCTTCTACTGTTCCTGAGAGCTGAGTTTAGACTTTTGATTAGAACATACCCTTACCCTTGAATTTTTAAAGTATGCTTTAGCCTTAATAATTGCTCAAAATGGATATTGGATCATTAATTTGAGACTTTTATTTAAACAAGAATTAATGTTTAATTATCATAATAGTTGTATGTTTGAATCTTTATTCAAGTGATTATAAATAGATAGCCATGCATATGTATTGTGACATTCATGGTGTTGCTAAGCTTTTACTTAGGGCATTAGAGAGATATTATGTTATTACAATTAGATTAATGCAATGCTGACATAGCAGGATATCATGTAAAGGTTCATTTGTAACTTTGTATAATTGAAAAGATACATCCTCATTTTAAAAATGAAAATATATAGCCAACTTTTGATTTTCATGGAAGTGGTAATGTAATAGGTAATATAAGTAGTGGCACCAGATCTCCTTGATGATATTATTCTAATTTAGTTAACAAATATTTATTGAGTTCTTACAGTAGAGTGCAGACTCTTACTTAGCTCAGGTTCCTATTACTGAGGTCATCTTCTCAAGCCTTTTATATAGATAGACACAGATGCCCCTTGAAGAGAACCATGTTATTTCCCTGTCCTGAGATTGGAGACTAGGGAGGTGGGGTGGGAGTGGAATGTAGAGAAGTCAGTGAAGAGGCAATATGATGGATTGCACAGTGTCTCCCAATTGCCTGCACTGTCCTGGGTAACCTTAGCCCTGTCCTGGTGTCCACGGGTTCAGAGGGAAGAAAAGAAAATGGAGGGGCTGATGGTGTGGTAGAAGGTGGCTGGCCTCTTTCTTGGTCTTGACCTTTTCTGTGTATTCCTTAGAGTGTATAGCCTAGAGGATGACAACTGATGATCAGTCAGCCCATAGTATTTAAAAACCTAACTTAAAATAATCAACATTTTCCAGAGATCTGGGAGGTGAAGGCAGGAGGATCCAAGTTCAAGGCCAATCTTGGCAATGTAGCAAGAGACCCTGTCTCAAAATAAAAAAATAAAAAAAGGTCTGGGGATGTAGCTCAGTGGTAGAGTGTCACTAGGTTCAGTTACCAGTATTGCAAATAAATAAAATAAGACAAAAATAAAAGTTAATATTTCAAAGGCAGATTTCACTTAAAAATAGGTTGGAAGGTTAGCCACACTCAAATTTCCTGCAGGGTGACTAATTAGGTTGAGTGGAGGAGCAGCCACTTTTATTGCTAACCCTTGTTTGGGTTTGCAGCCCCTGCAGGAAACCTTGACTGACCCTGGCTTGTGGTGTACCTCTAGGATTTAATGAGTTTCTGTCCCTCCCTTCTGCCTCTTGCCATTTCATGGTCTTCAAATTAGAATCAACAACAGACGTCAGCCCATAAAAATGTGTTCATCATAAACCTGACATTGATATTTTTTTCATTGTTTAAAGTCCGTTTATCATGTTCATGGAAATGCTTGTATCTCTCACTTTTTTTCTTACTTCTTTAATTTATTGCTAGGATAACAATGTTATTTTCATTTCATTTTATTTCAGAGTGACTAGGAGACAAACTTATTTTAAACAAAGTACCACACCTTAAATAAACTAACTTTCCATACAGCCTAAACTGTTCATAGTCTAGATAGAAGAATTCCTCAAGTGAATTAAATTCATAAATAACATTTTGAGAATCAGATGTATGTTTTTAAGTTTTATTACTTTGTTTTCATGTATGTCCAATTGGTCTAATACTAATAGTAGGAAAAGCAGTTTTATTTGTAAGGGTTTCCTAAATTGTATAAGAATTATAAAATATTTTTCTTCTCTTTTCTCACAAAATTCTGCCAGCGAGTTGAAAATGGTGACTTCAACTGGATTGTTCCAGGAAAATTTTTAGCATTTAGTGGACCACATCCTAAAAGCAAAATTGAAAATGGTAGGTTTTTCTTCCTTTTACCCTCCAAACATTTATTTTAATTACTCTTCTTTAATTTTTCAATTTCCTCAGATAACACTTTCTCTTGGTAATATTTTGCAGACTATTCAGGATGTATAAAATTGAATAGCAACCAGTGTGTTGAAGGTTAAACTTCCAGTAGGTGGAGCTATATCCACTCTTTTAAAACAAGCATATTTTTTTAGGTTGCCATAAGTAGAATGTTTTCTTTATCCAGTCATTAAAGAAGAATTTGAGAAACAAACTGGTTACACCACTAAACAGATTGCTGAATTCTATAAATGTTTTTTAGATTCATTTGGCTGTAGGGAGTCCCCAAGGTATTCTTGGGGAGTGTCATGTTGGGTGATGATGGCGATATTTGTTTAGTGCTTACTGCATGATAGTTTCTAGCATCATCTCAGTTAATATCCAATAATTCTTAGATGCAGATTCTGTGATCCACACCTAAGGAGGAAGAAATGGCATCTTCTTGGTGGGGATTTGCCCAGGGTCACCTAGAAGTGTGCAGAACTGGTACTCCAACTCAGAACTGGGCTCCTGAATATCACCACTGTACTATCTACTTAGTTCCTTTGAGACGAAGAGTACAAATTTTCTGATAGTAATTAAACTACTTATTTACAGCACTGGGCATATGTATTCAGTAAAATGAAAACAAAACATAACATACCTCTTGAATGCAACATGATTAGCTATGTGAAATTTGCCACTAATACTTGTTTTCTACTTATTCATATTTTTCCATGTCTTAACATCACCTAGGTGATATGTAATGATAGACACCAATGGTTTAAGATTAGTTCATAAGAGAAGTACATAAAATTGAAGAAAAAAATGTTATCCATGAAACACGATAACTCCTATTTACTTTCTGGTCATAGGGGTAGAGTATATCAGTTTTCCTTGGGAACCTGGAAATCTCTTGACTAGATTTACTCTTTTTACTACATTATCATCATCATCATCCTCATCATCATCACCACTTCTGAAATCTAGTTTCATTATTATTCATGTATTTGGATTTGATAGTTTTTTTTTTTTTTTTTTACAAAATATGTTTATCATTTCATATCTATTACTACCTTGCAGGAAGTCCTGCTTGAATCATGTTTTCCCCCCACCCTGTGGATAAGTAATCCAGGTTTAGAGTTAAACTAACAGGGGATCTCTATAGAGAAGCCAGAATTAGATCTTCTGAGTCATAAATTGGCTAAGGATTCTCATTTGGCTCTGTATATTGATAATTAGCCTCCGTCATGTTGGGTTGTTAGGAATAACACATGAAGTACCTGAGGAAAGTGCTTTATAACAGTTGGTCATTCAAGACAGGGCTGATTAAACCTACTTCTGTGAAAAAGTATTAGATTCAGGCCCAGGAAACCTCAGTAGATGTTCTGTTTGAGTAGTGGCTTTGTTGTTGGGTATTTGGCAAAGTTGAAAGAATTTTGCCATTTGGGATTCATGTGTTTCAGTTTTTCTTACAGAGGAGTTGGGAGGTATAATTTTTATAGAGCTAACACATGCTTATTTTAAAAAGAGTGGAGAAAATGCAGATTGACTAATGAGCATAAAAGTGACCTGTAATTCTACCCACATTTACTAGTTTTACTAATTGGTAGTTGGAATTACAGTTGCTTTTTAATTTCTTCCATCTGCTTCTCTTACTTTCTCAGTGTAGATATACATTGTATATGTCTATGCATAAACACACATTTATAATTTTTTTTTATCAAAATAGGATCATAATATAATTATCATCTCACAGCTAGCTTTTTTTCACTTAACATGTCATGGATGTTTTCCATGGCACTGTATATAGATCCATGCTATCATTTTGGATGACTGCATTGTTTATTATTCCAATCTATGACTGGGTCATAATTTTGTTAATTTATTTTAAATGAGATACAAGTTGTTTAAAAAACTGTTATGGGGCTGGGGATATAGCTCAGTTGATAGAGTGCTTGCCTAGCATGCATAAGGCTGTGGGTTCAATCCCCAGCACTCCCCCGCCCCAACAAAACAAAACAAAAACAAATAAAAAACCAAAAAAACTGCTATGGTTGGCATACCTATTCTTTCATATTTTATAGTTCTAGTTTCCTCTCTGAATTCTTAGAAATAGAACCACTGAATAAAAGAACATGTATATTTTATGTAATTTTTTTGGTGCTGGGGATTGAGTATAATTCTTAATTTAAAAAATCTTAAAAAACGTTTTTTGGTTCCATATTGTAATGTGGGGAAAGAATAATGGATGCCACTTGGTTATATGCCAGGAATGGTGCTAAGCCTCTTGTGCACATCATCTGTTCAGTGACCCACCATCTGTAGCAGGTGATGGTTAGTTTACGGAAGACAAGGAAACTTAAGAGAGTTACATATTGTCCAGGTTCATACAGCCAGTAGTATCAGGCTGTGGGACGACTCAAATATAGGTCTTTTTAATTACAAATTCTGTGCTCTTTTAAATTTTATTACAGAGAATGTACATGTTTATTATAGAATAATTTAGCAATACAGATAAAGACTAAAACTCTTAAAACTATATAAGCAAGAAATAACTATTGTTAAGATATTGCTCTGTATACACCTTTTTCCCCTATGTACCTGAGGAAAGTGCTTTATAACAGTTGTGTCCTCTCATTGAGAAAAAGGTCTGACAGTGTTACTTTAATTTGTTGGTTTTTAAGATGCCTAGAACAATTTCATTTAAGATTGTCTTTGGTAAAATGCTGATATTTTACTGAAATCCCCATTTTAACATCTGGTGTTCATTAGAAGCTTCAACATTTTTTTGGTGAAGGGTTTTAACTTTGTAAACACTTTTGAATTTAAAATAAGTCTGTGTGGGAATTAATAAAATTGATCCGATTACAGTTAGATCTTGGTACATTCCTTAGATTTTTTTTTTCAATTAAAATTTTGAGAAACTCTGTATTTCTGAAGGTCATTTTAGGAGTTTGTTAGTAGAAAAGCTGAGATTTTTGAGGAATTAACAATCAAATAGCTGTTGCTAGGATGTAGCAAAAGGAAGCTCTACGCTCTAGGGAAGGGCCAGAATGCATTCTAGGAGTGTTCAGGGTGTTTGTGTCAACAGAGGGAACTAGCAGGCTCACTCAGCCATCTTGGTTCACATTGTTTTCATAGTGGGGAAAGAAGAACGCTATTTTTTTTTCTATTTAACAATTTTGAATTGATGAATGATAGCAGGAGAATGAAACAGATATTTTAGATTTCAGATTTACAGAGTCTTTTAAGTGGTAATGTCATTTAAATACACACACACACACACATACACACACTCTCAGGGATGGGGAAGTGGTGTAGAGGTGGAATAAGAAGCAGAATCCGAGCAATTTGAAGTATCAGCCTGCTCTTTTAATGAGAGCAGACTGGTGTAAAGACCCTGGGCAGGTTGAAGTGTAGCTCCTTGATCCTTTATTGGCTGTGTGAACTTCAGTGAGCTCCACAACTTCTGGAACCATCAGTTTCCTTATACATCACAATGAGTGAAGTTTGATCACATTCAGGGTGTTTGGTGAGGATTGGGAATATTATTTGAATGGTTTGACCATGTCAGGTACACATTATGCTCTTATTAGTGCATTTCCATCTTTAATTCTTTTGTCCCATCATCCTGGATGTAGAATGCTAATGAACACTTAAATTGAACAACAAATATACCACTCATGGGAATTATGAAATAATTATTGTTTTCGGAGGTCTATTCTTTTGAGAAAAGTAATGGGTGAATGATGAGAGGATTTGAAAAAAAAATTCTATATACATATGAAAATATGTAAAAGATATGTAAGCTCTATATTATACTTTCCAACCTGTTTTATGCACCTGTGTCAATTTTGTTGAAATATTTGCAGAACTGAACATTTGGGACTTCACTGGTTAATGAACCTCATCAGCATTTTATATTTTCTGACATTACCTTGTTCCTTTTGCAATTTTTACTTTTAATAATGACCAGGTGGGCTGACTAGTCCACATTTGACTCTGCTGTTCTTAGTTTCACAACTTTAAAATGAGTGGCTGGAAAGAGGTGACTTTTAAAATCATCTTCAATTCTGAAGTTGTTTCTGTGTTGTGTCAGCATCACTGCTGGGCTGAGCCTGTGCCTCGCTGATGCCAGGGCACCACCTAGTGGCCAGATGCAGCCAAGGTTGGATGAACGCTCTAGCTTTCTGGGTGGGCTGCAGGACTCCCAGGGAGCATTTCACATTAAGCATCCAAATACATTGATAACTCACACACCGTTGCTGAGAGGTCATGGGATATCTTCATTATTTGTTGTCTGTAAGTAATTTGAAGCAGTTTTAAGAATTAAACAAAACCAAAACCAAAATCCTGCTCACCAACTCTAGGAAGTACAGCTCCTAATACTCATGTCATGTTCTCTGGTTTGGAGGTCTTACAGATAGAGTCAAGTTGAGTCTTACAAAAAACCAGCTCCAGGACAGATGTTGAAATCTGTCTGCCAGGGTCCAAATGCCATCTCTTACAACGTGTGTGCACATGGATCAGTTAGCTTTCCAGGCACCAGTAATCTGAGTAATTGTAGGGTTTAGTGTGATAATTCACATGGAACACTCAGCATAGTGCCTGGCACATTATAAGTGCTCAATAAATGTTAGGTGCGATTATGATTAGTATTTAAATGTCTGTTGTCATTTTTTTTATAGTTGTGTTTTGTGTCCATTTCTCAAAAGATATCCATCATTTCTTTTTCATAGTGTGTTTTGGTGTATTAGCTAAACCTTCATTTACTCCTGATAGAAATTCATGTAAGAAAAGAGATTCTTACATCTTGATTGTACAGAGGGAGGGATGGGCATCAAGCCAGGAGGTGCCAACACAGAGGTAAAAGGAATTCCAGGAATAAGGCAGGCTCCCATTGGCTTACCATACCTAGGGAAAACTCCCCAGGTGTTTGGAGTCCCTCTACTTCTCATTCCCTGCATGATAGAAAAGCTCTTGTTTCCTCATGCCAACCAGGGTTTTCCCACTTAGTCTGTAAACTTGTTGCTAGGAAATAATTTGAATAAATAAAGCAACTAGGAAAACAGACATGATTTTTCCAAGTAGAAGAGCATGTGTTTTCTTTTCATGTTTGTGTGTACAAGTTGCTGTTTCTATACAGAAGATGTTAAATGATCTCTGTTTCCTCTTTGTTCAATAACAGCATGGCCTATGAGAATCATGCATTTGAGTTAGGATTAGTTAGGCCTGAATTCCAATTCTGCCTCCATTTTTTGTGACCTTGGCAAAGTCTTCCAATTAGGGAACTTGGTTATAGACAGTAGAGTCAACTATGGTAAATTAAACTAAAAAGGCATTTATCGGAATATGTTGGGTAGCTCACTGACTCCAAGAGAAAGCTGGGAAATAAGTTTAGAAAATGCACAAGATCCTTGGGAGACAGTGTATCTGCAGGGTCCAGGCAGGAAATGGGAACCACACTGGGTACTCCAAACAGAAGGAATTTAACTCCTGGAGTCTGTTACAAAATAGTCTAAACAATAAAATAGGCAACATTGTAGAATCTAAATATTATGCAAAAGACAGCTAGTACCTTTAAGGTTGGGACTGGGGAGAGAAAGTGGAACTACCAGAGCCTGGGAGCATTGAGGGAGGAGTCAGATGACTGGAACTCAAATCCGTGGAGGTCATGCTCCACAATACTTTTTGGATTGGAGACTGAGGAGTAGAGACCAGAAGGCTGGGCTCTGGTCCTGAGGTGAGTGCAACAGGCTAGTCCTGGGAGTGCCACAGTTGATTGGGAGCTCTGGCTGCTCTCTTCTTTGGTTGCTGATGTGATGCTGATGGGAGAACGGGAAGAAGGCCCTTTCCTGGTTGCCCTTTAGTGCCTCCTATTTTTAGAATCAACAGAAGGCCACCTAGATAGGTAGTCTGGGAAAGACAATATGTGGACCTGAGCCCCAGCCTCATGGTGCAGGGTATTAAAGGGTTGGCTTGGAGCTGAGAGAAAATGAAAAGGACAAGCACAAGGTCCAAGGCAGCAGAAAATACAGCCAAAGAAACAGTGCAGAAGCCATCTGGCTTTGCAGGCTGCTCCTGCTGCTGCCTTGGAGCCCCATTTACAGTGAAGTCATTTCACTTAGCTGGTGTGCCATGAGTCAGTGGGCCCTTGATGGGTTACAGATGTGGGAATCAGTATGCTGGGGATAGCCCTCTTCACCCTTAGGGCTGCTAGGCAAGGCCTGCAGTGGCCAAAGTCTTCACTGGTCACCTCGGCTGATTGGCCTTGACTAGGTCTGGTTTGTGACTCATTGATTCTGTGGCTCTCAGGAATGCTCACATGGTGGTGGACATTGCCAGGGAGTTGGAAATTTAGTATCTCAGGTGGCCCCCTCCTCAAACAGTAAATGTTCACTAAAAAGTTCCTCTTTTAGCTTCTTTTTTCAAGTTAAAAATTATTTATATTTTAAACTGACAAAATTTTATGTATTCATGATATACAATATGATGTTTTAAAATAGTGTACATTGGTTAAGTCAAGTTTAATGTGTACATTGCCACACATATTTATCATTTTTGTGTATGATGAGAACTCTTAAAATCTACTCTTAGTGACTTTCAAGTATCCAGTACCTTGTTATTAACTATAGATACCATGTTGTACAATAGATCTCTTGGACTTACTCCTCCTGTTTAACTGAATTTTTGTATCCTCAGCTTTTAGTGTCTTAATCTGTTAAATGGGGTTAATCATCCTTTACAGATTGTTTTGAGAATTAAAAGAGAAATTATATACAACTGTGGCTTGTATGTGGAAGGTGCTTTCTGATCACAGATCTATTCTGTGGAGGATTGTGCTCTATAGATTAAAGCTATACATCTGGCAAAAAAAAAAAAAGTTTTAGCTGTAGCTGAAATGTATTTGTTAAGTAAAAAATAACGTTTGAGGGGAAATAAAATCACCAAGAATCATCCCATCTCTTTTGTGCACGTTTGAGTACTTCAAGAATGCCTTTGCTTTGGGGATGGGAGGAGTACATGTGTTCCCAGGATTGGAATCCTACTAGAGGTTGAGATTTTGAACTTTAATGAGTTGTCTCAATACTTAGAGAGGGTTTTTGTTTTAACCTCCTTTGATGTTTACAGTTACGCAGACGGCTTTTACGAGCTTCTGGAACCTTTTACACTCTCATGAAACATGCTTTCTTCTGTGCTCTATTGAGATTTCTGCACTTTGTTGTTGAGGGTGTGTGTCTGGGTTATGTAAGATGAATTGCGTGCCTTCTGCTTACGGCTCCTTTTCCCTTTAGGTTACCCTCTTCATGCTCCTGAAGCCTACTTCCCTTATTTCAAAAAGCATAACGTAACTGCAGTTGTGAGGCTGAACAAAAAGATTTATGAGGCGAAGCGCTTCACAGACGCTGGCTTCGAGCACTATGACCTCTTCTTCATAGACGGCAGCACACCCAGCGACAACATCGTGAGAAGGTTCCTGAACATCTGTGAGAACACGGAAGGAGCGATTGCGGTTCACTGCAAAGGTGTGTGCGAGGGCTGCGTAGTCTTGGAGCTCATGGGGGCTAGTCACCGAAACCCAGAAAATAACGTAAAACAATTACCTAATGAGTTAGAAAACAATGGTTTTTAATTTTAGAAGACTGCATCATGAACCCATTTTAATAACCCCTTCCTAAAGAAAGAAAGGATTGCTTGGGCCTGGACAGTTGATGGTGGTGTGGCTTCTTGACAATGAAGGTTTTCTGATCTTAACCTTTCCAAGCCCCAGCTCATCGACACTGTATGTCTCAAGGGGAAATATCAGCAGTGATGTCCTTAGACTGGCAGGAGCAGCTTTGACTAGGTCAAATGGCCAAGAAGCAAGTGTCATTAGTTCTCCTTTTCTTTTAGAATTGCTCATCTCTTCTCCATCTTTTTCTACCCATCTGATATTTGGTGTTTCCATTCTTTGATCCAGCTTTCTAGAACCTCCTTTCACCCCTTGTGCCTCCCTTTCCCTGTTTGTCTTTTGCATCATGGAGCTGAGTGTCTTCCTTGCCCCTTGCCTGGGGTAATCACCCTGCTCACTTGCCAATGATGGGGATTGCCTCTTAGAATGAATGGAAAGACATAGTTGTGTAAATGAATCTCTGGTCTCTGGGGTGGATACTTTGGGGGTAGGGATCGTTCAGAGTATAGGAGGCATAGGGTTGTCACATTTAGCAAATAAGAATACAGGATGCCCAATTTAATTTTAATATTATATAAACAGTGAATTTTTTTTTAGTAAAAGTACATCCTAAATATTGCATGGAGTACATATTGTTTTTTATTTGTCAACCTTATGTCATTTACCTAGAAAATATGAATGGCATTTGATTATCTAAGCTTGGTTGTTAGACTCCTAGGAGGTCAACTTCTAGTTTAGAATTTCCAGTGTGGTGGAAGATATTTTACTGGGATCTTTGATTTTAATGATGAGAAATCACGTTGGCCGCCTTGAGATGAGCCTCTAGTTTCTCACATGCAGCGCTTCATTGTGCCGCTAGGTGGTGCTATTCTCGTGGTTTTGAGTCTGCAAATAGGTTTGTGTCGCGTTTTATGCTAATTGGCTAGTAGGAGTTGGGGATGGTACTGTTCTTTTCCTGTGCCTAGTGCTGCTGTAACTGCCTTATTCAGAGGAGAGTGGCTTTGGTTCTGACAGAAATTAAAATACCATTTTGTAGGCCCTTGTTTCTATGTTTAAGATTTGAGTAGGTGGAGGTACTTCGCTGAATATGTGAGCAGCAACGGGAAGCTGCACTTTACCAGAGACTGGAAGAGATGGAAATGCACGTGGTCCCTGACTTAGATGAGGGCTCCTGAAGCAGGCTTCATCCTCCTGGACTAGCCTTACCTCCGCTGTCCCTATCAACCCAGGACCCCTGATTGACAGGAGTTCCCCTCTGCCCGTGCATTGCTGGGAAGGTGTTCCTTGCTCACTCCTTTGTAAGCACTGCTTTCTGGTTATACCTGGATGGCTAGAACTGAAGTGTTTTTCATTTACCCGTTAAGTTTGCCTTTCTATCCCTTTTTGTTAAAGATTGTCCATGTCCAAGAAAATGCCTGCATTTCACATATTTCAAATATCAGCAGAACTTAAGAACTGATAGGAATATAGCTGCAATCAACATTTAGTAGGAGGTATTCATATCTTCTCTTCCAAACTCTAGTTTTTTTGGGTGTGTTGATGCACACCTGTCATCCCAGTGGGTTAGGAGGCCTAGACAGGAGGATTGCAAATTCATAGCCAGCCTCAGCAATTTAGCAAAGGCCATGTCTCAAAATGAAAAATAAAGAGGGCTGGGGATGTGGCTCAGTAGTTGAGTGTCCCAGGGTTCAATCCCTGGTACCAAACAAATGAACAAACAAACAAACAAACAAAAAAACCCAAAACAAAAAACACCAAAGTTTAGTTTTATATTATTAAAAAAAAAATTAGTATTTTTGATGAGATTAATTTGGCCTTTTTTTTCATAGTCAGTTTTGTGGCAGCAGGGTCATAGAATTTATTTGTGGGTTAACAATCCATATCTTGGATTGACAAATCTGAAAGAGAAGAAATGCAGAGCTTTCATTAAAACTCAGCATCTTTCTTTATTGTATTCCTCATCCAAGAAACGTGAAAATGAAACTCTCCGGTGTTAAAACATTGTTACAGGTATATTCTCTGTATAACCTTGGCCTGTGAGTGTTTACTTTTAAGATATATATGTATGATTATGTATATTTTTATGTATATATATGCAGATATACATGTCATATATATAATCTATCTACTTATAGTAGAGGTTTTTTAATTTTAATATCTGAACCTTTAGGGGCTAGGGTTGTAGCTCAGTGGTAGAATGCTTGCCTGGCATGTGTGAGGTGCCTGGTTTGATCCTCAGCACCACATAAAAATAAATAATTAAAATAAAGATAATGAGGGCTGGGGTTGTAGCTCAGTGGTAGAGTGTTTTCCTCGAATGTGGAAGGCACTGGGTTTGATCCTCAGCACCACATAAAAATAAAAAATTAAGGTATTGTGTCCATCTACAACTAAAAAAAAATTAAAAAATAAAGATATTGTGTCTATCTACAACTAAAAATATTTTAAAAATGTGAACCGTTTAGCATTGAGGTGAGTTCTTATAAAGGAAAGTCAAGTTTATATGTGGTGACACCTTTTTGAGAGTGTTATTTCATTTACATCTACTTGTACACACATGAAGAATACTTTTATAAGGATTACATTTTCAGTTTAATTACAACTCTATTGCTTTTAATAGCACACTTATCTACTATAGGCTTGTTAATTATTTTGACATCTGCCCTAATTAAGTCAGCTTAATTTTTTGGGAATTCAAGCAGCACTCAGTATTTTAATTGAACTAAAAGGAAGAAGGGAGAGAGACTCTTATGTCAAATGAACTTTGGTAGAAAGGGAATGAAAATGTTATGCCTCAACATATAAAGCCTTGCATACAGAGACAAACTAGAAACGAATTTGCTGGGAATGTGTGAAACTTTACCGCGACTCAATATCTGCAGTTCACTTTGATGAAAGAAATGATGAAAGGAATGCTATGAATTCTTCAAATTTTCTAGCACAAATAATCATCCAACATACAGCAACATTGTGATATTCTAGTATGTGATTCTTGATGTTCTATAGGGATTTCAGAAAATGGATGGAACTATAAAGCAATTGAAGTTTGACTTTGGTATAAATAGAACACTTTCAACCTCTTGTCATGCTGTGCCAGGGAGCCCTTTAATTATGAACGCTTTAAAATTTTTGTTAAAAGTTTTTATAGAAACTTAGTGAAGTGTTCCTATTCTGTTCACTTGTGGTAAGAGCTCCCAACTATTGAGTGCTAAGTAGGTTCTTTTTATAGATCTAAATTATAGACTCTTTTTAAAAGGGGGAAGCAACTTTAGTTTCAGAGAAATTTGAAAATTCTTTGTACCACCTTTTTGATTGTGAGTAGGACTAGGAGCCTAACTGAGGGCATCAGGCAGCTCCTTGCACAAAGCAGGGCACAGTCAGAGAGTGTGTCTCCATGAAGAGGCCACCTGCTCTCCAGGCAGAGACCTTGGCATGATGACCCTGGAAACTAGTGCTGGCCCCCTGCTGCTGCTCCAGGACATTCAGCTGTGTTTTATCTGAGCAGTTGCCCAGTCAATTGTAGTCTTGTCTGATATCTGGGGAATTATCAGGTATGGGCTCTCTGGGTGAAGCAGAAGGAAAGGCAAATGACTCTTACCTCTTACTATTAAAGAAAGAGCCCCTGGAGACCATAATCACACTTTATTTTTTTCTGAGGAATGTTGATGTTTGATCTGGGGCAAAAGGCACTTCAGTTGAAAACAGGATGTGTTACACTTCATCTAATAAAATGGTGTATGTATCCTTTATTATTTTTTTTTTTTAAGGAAGGGACTGCCAGACATCTATAGACTGAACTTGGATGTCATTTTATTTTCACTCTTGATGTGTATTCTCGACCCAGGCATTACAAGGCAAAACTGTTTTTTGGGGTGGTGAAAAACCTTTTTCTGTATAAAGCACAGATTTATTTACACATAATACATATATAGATATGTAGTGTACCTGTGTGGTAGTACAATTTTATGGGGAAAGATAAGGAAAAAAAACAAAATAAAATGTAAAGAGGCTTTTGGAGGAACAGTACACGTAAAAAAGTTGTGAAATGCTGATTTAGAGACACGCTTTTTCACACCTTAACATTTCTGAAATTAGGATGGAGTTTTAAATTGATAGCATGTCGTGGTTTCATGTTTTATTGGTCAAACTTAAATAATGGTATGTATTGCACAATGAAGATGGTACGGTGGTGTCTGAGATTTGCTGAAACACTGTGAATTTCTCAAACTACTGGGGAAGATTTGAGAAGAGTCTACAGTTTGACCAAGGAAAACAGTCAAAAGGATTCCTCAAAATCAAACAAATAAATAAGCAACCCCCACTCCCTGAAGATTTCTAAACATCAGCAACAGCCATTAACTTTTTCCTATTTCCTTTTTCTAACTAAAGGTTTTCATGGATGAAATCAACATTGTACCAGTTTCTTAGGTCAGAAACATCAGTCATTTTTAACTTTCCTTGTGACCCAATCAGAATTCTGATTCAGCTCTTCGTCCTTATTGCCACATCCTGCCCCTCTCAAGCACGCTTCTCTTCTGCCCCACCCTTCCAGTCTTGTCTCTCTGGCCCCTGTCTCTGTCCCTTCCTGTTCCAGCTGGTCCTTGGCTGCCAGATCCTTTTGCTTTCATCACTTTCTCCACCACCCCCATGTGACATTTTCACTTTGCCCTTTCCACTGGATAGAGAGAAATACAGATTTCTACATGATAGCAAATTTGCATGTGTCTCAGCTGCTAATGTTATCATTACACTTGGGGCCAGTGTGGTTTCTGGTAGGGTTTAATTTCAGGTTTATGTGGATGCATTTGCTATACTTTGTATTTCATCTGTGTTCCTCTCTTACAGCTGGCCTTGGAAGGACAGGGACATTGATAGCCTGTTATGTAATGAAGCACTACAGGTTTACACACGCTGAAATCATCGCTTGGATAAGAATTTGCCGGCCAGGTTCCATTATTGGGCCCCAGCAGCACTTCCTGGAAGAGTAAGTGTACCCCTCTGTGTTTTCATGGTACATCCTTGTTCCTGACCCTTTCTACTTCTTCTTCCCCAGGTTCTGGACAGTGTCAAGCTCACAGTTATAAAATGGCTGCATTGTTTGAGAAGTCTGTGCCTCTAATAGAATATTGTTGATTTGACAGCTGATGCATTCTCACTTTGTACCTTTTATATCTCTTAGATCAGGTGAGAGTGAGAAGAAAATCACAGAGCCATCTCTGCCTACCCCTTTTCTGTCATTTTCTATGTGTGATCTGGCTACAGTGCAATTTTCTTATGTCATCCCACTTGGCACTTTTCATTCTTCTCTTTTGTTTGCATGTCTAAAAGCAGAATGAAGTAAAAAACACAACTAAGGTCAGTCAGTGATTTCACTAAGTTTGCTGCTCTCCTGACAACTAACTGAACTGCTAATGAGGCTGCACCTTCTGAATACAACCAAGAAGTTACCAAGGAAAGAAAAAGGAAAACTGGATTTTAGCCCTGGCCCCACTATTTACCAGCTTTATGACCATCATTCAGAAGAATGCTTATAAATTTTACGTTTATTTATTCACATATTCATTTGTTAACTTTTGGTGCAACCTCAGCCCACTGGGTAGAAAGATTTAACCTCTAAGGGGACAATCCTTTCTGGACCACCTGGCTTCTCCTTAAAATGCTGCAGGTTACCATCAATTTACCCATTAATACAATGAGTAGATGAAATTAGTGATAGTTGACCTAGGTCCAGCTGTAAGATGTTATCAATTAATGACATACTGAAACCTGCATTTTTTTTCTTTTATGTTGGGAATGGCATTCTTTTCCATGAAATTATTCCTTTCTGAATTAAATCATTTTAGGTTGGTAAGAAACAAATGATCATGAATTTCATAGAAAGGTACTGTAAATAAGCTCTTAGTGTCTGAAGTGATTAAGAAGATTTGAGCCTGCTGAGGGATGACTTCAGTTGGCAGTATTATAGGGAATAATTTATAAGAAAAAATAAATTCTGAAAAAATGAGCAGTTATACCTTAGCTTAAGAGCAAGACAAAAGGGTAATAACTTTTTAAGAAAAAATGTGCAAGAAGACAGAAACTTCAAGAGTTTTACCTGTGGGGTACAAATAAAATAATTCTGTTGTTAAAGTGCTTTGTTCTTGATCGTATTTCTTGGCCAGTGACTTCCTCTGTTTCTTTCCTCTTTTGTGCATTCTGTGCTCCTACAGTGTGGAGCTTTGTAGAATGAATCTTAAAGTGCTCATTCTACTAGTTACTTACCAAAGTTGAACAAATGGCCTTAGGGTTAAAAAACAAAATCCAAAATACTCCTCAGCCTAGTTCTTTGAGCCATTTAATCCATCTTAAAATTATAGGTTGGAAGAAGGTTCATTCAGTTGGTAGAACACTTGCACCAGGCCCCCGCACTGTGCAGCTCTCGAGGCGGGGAGATGCAGTGGAGAACGCCCCTGGCCCAGGGCACCTGGTTTTCAGGGTGTCAGATAGCACGGCCTGTGAACACCTTCACACCTCCCTATTGTGCCTCTGCTCTGCCATATCATAAGGTGATAGCAGAAGAAATTTGGGTTATAAGACACAGGCACTCTAGGTTGAAGAAAGGTTTATTCCTTTGTGAGTACATAAGCTGTACAACTCTGGAAATTTCCTAGGTTGTGAGTCATACTATAGTTTTCCAAGTATTTGTGAAAGCTGAGGTGCAGGAATGATTCTCTTGTCTAACTCCCATATGAAAAAAAGCCATTGCAATCCTTAGGGTAGAGCTTCCTGCAGGCAGACATCTTTTTTGTCTTAGGCAATGTATCTTTTATATCTTTTATATTTTGCAATGTTTCTTACAGAACTTGCATGGAAAAGTACCTGTGGGGCTCATGGGCTCTCCCCCGGGCATTATTATATCTCTTCCCTCAGGGCTCTGGTCTCTGGCCTACTCTGCTAAGTATTTGAGCTTGATTTTTACTCTTTTATTCTTTCCTCCTCTCATTGCTGCCTCCCCCCCCACGCCAGTGTCTTGACATACCCCATGCACTGTTTACTGGGCTGGTGGCATTCTTCCGTCCAGCAGATGGTAGTTGTGTGCACACCCTGAGTTGGGCAATGCTTTCTCCCAGATAAGGGAGAGTGAACAAGGCAGCCAGGGTTCTTGCTCTAGGGTGCATGCTTTTCTAATGGAAGGAACATGTATAAGGAAAAGTGTATTGTATGCAGGGTGATGGCTGGTGGTAAGTGCTCCGAAGAGGTGACAGAATTGGGGGAGGGGTGGCACACAGGAGTAGAGAGCTCTTGGAAAGCATGGAGGAATGCTGAGACCAAAAGGCAAGAAAGAGCAAGTCTTGTCAAAATCTGAATTGTGTTCCATGCAGGGAGCCTGTGTGGTCCTGAGACAGCAGCAAGCTTAGTGTTTTAAAACTGAGAGAGCAGGTTCATGTGGATGGAATATAATAAACTGGGTATGCCCAGTGAGTTTTCACAAAGCTGATCAACTGTGGAACCTTTCCAAGATCAAGAAGCAGAACATCACTAACATCCAGAGGCACCTCTTGTGTCTTTTTTATTCACTACCCAGTTCTTCCATCAAAAGAACCATTCTAGAGTTTTGCCTGTTTCTGAACCTTCTGTAGGGGGAACCCCTGCAGTATGTGTAGACATCTAGCTATTTTTCCTCCACATCATCTTTGCTGCTGTTGGTGGACACAGCTTGTTCATTTTCATTGCTATGATACCTTTAGTATATATGACATTTTAGTTCTCTGTTGATGGATATTCAGTCTGTTCCCAGTTGTTGACTATTTTGTGTCTTTGGTGTGTGGTCTGGTGGATGTACACCTGTGGTGGGCCAGTTGGGTGTGTGCATTCAGCTTTAGAAGATAGTAAACAGTTTCCCAAAGTCAGTATGCCTGTTTATATTCTCATCAGCAGTGGCTTGTCTGTCTTAAATTGTAGCCATTGGATTTTGTTAGTTGTGGTTTTCACTTTGTAGTATTAATTTGCTTTTCTGTGATAACAAATGAAGTTGAACATGTTTTCATGTTTATTGGCCATTCATATTTTCTCTTCTGTGAAGTATCTTTGTATGTTTCTTGAACGTTTTCTGTTGGATTGATCGTCTTTTTCTTGATTGTAGGGATATTCTGAATACAAATACAGCCCATTAGATGTAATGCAATACATTCTCCTACCTTGTGGTATGTGTGCATTTCACTCCCACTTAGTGTGGTGTCTTTTGAAGAACAGAATTTTAAAGTATCGGTGCAGTTTAGTTTCACAATTTTTTTTTCCCCCTGTAGGTAATGCTTTCTGTGTACTACTTCAGATATCTTTGTTGCTGAGCATCCTGGCATATGCTTGTAGTCTCAGTTACTTGGGAGGCTGAGGCTTGGAGGATCACTTGAGCTCAGGATTTTTAAAAAATTAATTTATTTTTTCCAATTTGTTATACATGACAGTGGAATACATTTTAATCCATATTACTCATATATGGGGCTGGAGAATATTATGCTGAGCCCAGAATTTTGAGATGAGCCTGGGCACCATACTGAGACCATGTCTAAAGGAAAAAAAAAAAAGATATCTTTGTCAACTACAGAGTATGAATATATTATGTTACCTTCCAGAAGCTTTCCTGATTTTTTTCCATTGCATTTAGTTCAACAGTTCATCAAGAATTGCTTTAAAGCATATATCATGAGATAAGAGCCAATGTTGTTTTCCCCCATATCAATATTCATGTCAACGAATACAATTTATTGAAAAGAACACTCTTTTCCCTTTGCTCTAAAGTGTCATCTTATCATAAATCAAGTGTCTTCATATGTTTGTTTCTGGACACTGTATTCTATTCTGTTAGTTTGTATATCTTGACACCAGTACCTTAATTCAGAGAATCACTGCACTTTAAATGAGTCAATGTCTAGGAGTGTAAGTCCTTTGAACTTATTCAAGAATATCTTGATACTTTCATTTATTTAGATCTTTTTAAATCTTAATAATATAAAAAATGTCTTTAGTTTTCTGTGTAGAGGGGTTGGATGTCTTTTATTTGAATTTATTGAATGCATCGTAGAGGCATCATGTTTTAGGTTTTATTTTCTAATTGTTTAAGGCTGGAGTATAGAATTAGAATTGATATAAAAATCTCACAATTGTACTTCTGTATAATCACAAACCAAGTCAAGATGTAGAACATCCTAGAAAATCCTATCACACCTCTTCTCAGTTTGCCCTGACACACCGCAAAACATTTTCTTCAGGTTTTTGTCACTATAGACCAGTTTTGTCTATTCCTAGGCTATATTGACACACCAAGTGTTGTTTTGTGGCTGACTTTCTTTCCTTTCTTGCTTAAAATAATGTTTTTGAGATTGATTTATGCTGAGTATGTATGTAGTTCATTCTTTATTTTATTGCTGAGTAGTTTTCTACTGTATATATTATGGTGTATTTATCCATACAATTGTTAATGGACATTTGGATGATTTCTAATTTTGAATTATTATGAATAGCCTGGTGCGGTGGTACATTCCTGTAATCTGAGTGGCTGGGGAGGCTGACAGGAAGATCTCAAGTTCAAAGCCAGCTTTAATAAAAGTGAGGTGCTAAGCAACTCAGTGAGACCCTGTCTCTAAGTAAAATACAAAATAAGGCTGGGGATGTGGCTCAGTGGTTGAGTGCCCCTGAGTTCAATCCCCAGTACCCCTGCCTCAAATTATTATGAATAAAGCTTCCATGAATATTTTTGTGTGAGTCTATTTATTTCCTTTATTTAAAAAACCAGGGGTGAAATTTCTGGGTCATAGGGCTCGGTACAATTTAACTTTATGAAAAACTACCAATTTTCCAAAATGGTTGAATCATTTTATAAACTACTTGGTAATGTATGAGGGTTCTAGCTGTGCCACTTCTGTGTGAACATTTTATATCATATATATTTTTTCCCTCATTCTGGTTGGTTTGAAATAGTATCTCATTGTGATTTCAGTTTGTGTT